TTAACCATCATAAACACTCTGACAGCTAGCACGGCACAGTGCCTAAAAAACTGAATAGCGAACCAGGAAGTCTCTATTTTAAATCTTGCCTGAGCTACAAACACAGTAGGTGGCCTTAGTCACACCACCTCAACCCTCACATCTGAAAGGTTGGGATAATAAGTGGCACCAGCAACAAATGTCACAGTGCAAAATGATGCTGTCCAGGATATGAGGCTATTAATTCTGTTATTCACTCTTGTTTTCTGATTTGTTCTCTAAAAGTCCATTACTCTTCCACCCAATATCTGTTGGCTTTTTCCTCATCTTTTAATCTCTCTCTCTCCCTCTCCCTCCCTCCCTCCCTCCCTCCCTCCCTCTCTCTCTCTCTCTCTCTCTCTCTCTCTCTCTCTCTCTCTCTCTCTCTCTCTCTCGTGGTTGTGCTTGCCTAGTGCCATCTGATACATACACACACACACACACACACACACACACATATGTATATGTATTGTGCTTTTATTATTTTTATAAATAACTCAAGATGGTGAACACACACAATAATCCTTCCTCCTTCTATATTCCCTACCTGTTAGGTGAGTTGGGCTGAAAGAGAGTGACTGACCCAAGTCATATATGAACAATGGACCTTATAGCATGAACATCAAAAGCGGAAGGGTTGAGAACTGTATTACTATTTAGAAAGCATCATAATTCTGAGGCAGCATATGTACAATGCAGTTCAAAGGCAGAAGGCTCCAGATCACAATGCATAACTTCTCTTCTTAAGATAGCAGAATTGAGTAAGACGATGCTTAAGACCTTGGAGAGCTGCTTCTCTTAACCAGTAGTTCAGATTGGGTTAGAATCAGGGGTTGGTTCTACTTACCTTTACCACCCGTTTGTATCGTGCCCGTGCGCATGCGCAGATCTACTTTGATGACATCCGGGTCAGTGGGCGGAGCCTCCCACCAGTTTTACTACCGGTTCTTGCAAACCAGTCCAAACTGGGGGCAACCCATCACTAGTTAGAATAGACTAGTATTGTTGCACTACAAGCCAGCTTCGTATGAAGATCTATAAAATTTACAGTATAATAGGTATAAACTGCCTTGGACACCTGAAGAAGCTCTATAAATGCAAAGTGGTATCTTATTCTTGTTATTTAAAACAGGCTGTAAAGGCTTAGGTGGCCTTTGCGAAGTAGAAATATTTAATAATGGATTAGGAAGCATAAAACGAATGGGCTCTGCTCATTTCAGCTGCATTTCTCTGATAGGTTCACCTATATCTCAGACAGAGAACTTGTCATGCTCCTATTCTGTGGTCAATTTTTAAATAGAAAAGCATCTTGTTATGTCTGGTTGCCAATTCTCAAGTCTAAATACCTCAACTGATATTGCTGTGGTAGAAAATATAATCAAAAATGACCTTCAGATATAAACAAAGATTTTGCTTACTTTACCATAGAAACGGATGTGATCCATCACAGTAGCTCATAAATAATGTGTCAAACTGTTGCACTGATCAATGACGATAAGTAATTGAAATATAATGTGATCTTAAGGCCTCTATGTAAATGTTTGCAGCACTCTTTCAGTTCTTCCAAGGGTTGGTTTTTTTTGTTTTTTTTTTGTATGAGTGCATATGTTGATGAATTGTTCCTTAACTGCAAAACTTGTGGAATTGAAATAAATGTCTTCAGACTTTATCCATTCCATTATCCAAAATACTCACAAACAATACAGTGAAACATTGGAGATTTGCTGGGGTCCAATTCCCACCCTAGTAAAGAACTCAGTGGGTGGCCTTGGGCAACTGCTAAATAGCTTAGGAAAATCAGGGCTACAAGATAGGGTGATGGCTATTATCTTAGAGAATTTTTAAAAACATTTGGAAAAACTGCACAGCATTGTTGGTCATGATAGCTAAATAGGACCTCCATGCTCAAAGACAATAACAATTTTATATTTTGGGGGAAAGTCAGGAAAGACTGCTGCCTTTATGTCCTTTGATTATTCTCCATTTATTAAAATTTATGAATTAGATGAAACTTTGGCCTCATTTGATTTCTTGCTGGATTAAGTTACTTGAAAGTAGTCATGGGAAACCCTTACCATGAATTCCAACTCTAAAGCAGTGGCTGGTTTCTCAGGATATGTTAGATTAGGCTAAAAGAGAATTGATACTTATGGATTCAATGCAGTGTGAATTTAGTCATTGTTTTAGTGTCTTCTTTGAATCACAACACTAAACCTTGATAATTCTAATTGTACAAATCTGAACAAATTGGATCAAGAAATTAGCATCCTTTTTTCCAGTGATGGCGCAACATCATCAGAAAGCCTCCTGCTCTCTGAAATTTCTACCCGTCAAATGTTGCCTAAGCTTGTGCTAGATTTTCCTTTCCTTTCCTTTCCTTTCCTTTCCTTTCCTTTCCTTTCCTTTCCTTTCCTTTCCTTTCCTTCCCTTCCCTTCCCTTCCCTTCCCTTCCCTTCCCTTCCCTTCCCTTCCTCCCCTCCCTCCCCTCCCTCCCCTCCCCTTTCTTCTATGAGATAATTATTTCTTTGAGGAAGAGGATACTGACAGATGAGGATCTATTTTCTCATTGCTGTCCAACCCACCCAAAGGATAGCAATAAGGGAGTGCTGTATTATTATAACTTCCCTTTCTCCTTTTTCCTTCCTCCAGTGAAAATTTTGCTTGCTGCTCAGGAGAAAAAAAATAGTTTTCCCTGCCTTTCTGCCTCTTGCAAAGAGTAAACATATGCCCCACTTTCTGCTTCCATTATAGCAGCATTTTATCTCACAAGTTCCTCACCAGATTGGAAAAGCAATGTAGAGATAATAGCAGTGGGAAAAATGATGCACAGTTATAGCAAGAGAGAATGTGAGAGACAGATGGTAGTTTGTGGACACAGAGCATCTCCATCTGGCTGGATTTCTGGCTGAATGCAGGCCAGCTTGCTACAGCTGGAATTCTGAATGGATTCCTTGAAACATTTGCAATAGCAAAGGAGAAAAACAAAGCAAGAACAATGAAAAAACAAATACAAAATATAAAAAGCTTTCTGTATTCAAGATTCAGTCAGATAAACTTACTTATTTAGGAAACAGTCCAGCCGACGTCAAGTGTCAAAGTTTCATGGTGTTTAGTAAGAGATGGTTAAGCATGTGCTTGTTGTCTTCTTTGAAATGGGAAGCTCTGCAATGTTTGATTCAGACTGGAATGCAGGAATTGGGTATGTCTAGTCTAATGAAAAGAAGGACCAGAGGAGATATGAGAGCAGTGTTAGAATATTTGAGAGGCTCCTACAAAGACTGGTGGGGGTGGGGTGTCAAACTGTTTTCCAAAGCATCAAAAAGCAAGACAAGAAACAATGGATGGAAAGAGTGCAGAGAAGAGCAACCAAGATATCTAGGGGACTGGAGGCTAAAACATACAATGAATGGTTGCAGGAACTGGGCATGGCTAGTCTAGTGAAGAGGAGGACCACAGGAGACATGATAGCAGTGTTCCAATATTTGAGGGGTTGCCACAGAGAGGAGGGAGGTCAAGTTATTTTCCAAAGCACCCTGAAGGCCAGACAAGGAATAATGGATAGAAACTGAAGAAGGAGAGATTCAATCTGGAATAAGGAGAAATTTTCTGACAGTGAGAGCAATCAACCAATGGAACAGCTTGCCTTCAGAAGTTGTGGGAGCTTCATTATTGGAAGCTTTCAAGAAGAGACTGGACTGCCATCTGTCAGAAATGGTGTAGGGTCCCCTGCTTGGATGGCAGAGGGGAGGGTTGGACTGGATGACCTAAAAGGTCCCTTCCAACTCTGTTAATGTGTAATCTGAAACTAACCAAAGAGAGAAGCAACCTAAAAATAAAGAGAAAATTCCTAACGGTGAGAGCAATCAGCCAATGGAACAGCTTGTCTTTAAAAGTTGTGGGTGCTCCATCACTGGAGGCTTTCAAAAAGAGACTGGACAATCATTTATCTGAAATGGTATAAGGTCTCCTGCTCAAGCAGAGAGGTTTGCTGGTCTTTGAACAGTGTACCATGCATCATACCTAAGTAGGCTGGTTTAAGGACAGTGTTTCATTTCACTTCATTTCATGGTATCTTGATGAAAATAAAAAAAATTATGAATGAAATGCAGTTCTAGTCATTATCATCCCTATGTCTTTAATAATTTTGCCTTCTGTGTAAAATTTTAATAATTTGGGGAGCAACGTTACAACGTTAGGAAGATACAGGATTTGGGTAGAGGTCTGAGTGTACAGGCTGTTTCTCTATCTCAACCAGGATCTATTGTTTCCAGTTTTGTGTCTGCCTGGGGATTTGTCAAGGCTAGAGGATCCAATAACCGTTTCCCCCACCCCCCTGTTTGTTGTAGATGCTGTTTGGAGAAAAGGAGGTTAATTAAGTATGTGGGATATTCCAATCCAAAGATGAGCTCAGAGTCTGCTGTTTGGAGCTGCCCAAGGCTGGAAAACAAAGAAACCTTCTTTCTCTTTCCTGTACTAATGATTCCCAACTGGCTGGCCATGGAGAACTGGAGAGTCAGAAAGTAACATGAGATGGTCCATTAGAGCAGAGGAAGGGAATAATGCAACAATAATATAGCCCTATGTAGTTCTCCTATTTACAATATAATTTGCTTGTAATATAGCATTTGCTGAATGTTGTGGGACAACTTTGAGAGCTAACATTCTTGGCATGTTTAGTGATTAAGCTATAGACCAGTGGTGGAATTCAATTTCTTTTACTACCGGTTCTGTGGGCGTGGCTTGGTGGGCATGGCAGGGGAAGGATACTGCAAAATCTCCAGTCCCACCCCACTACATGGGAAGGATACTGCAAAATCCCCATTCCCACCCCACTCTGGGGCCAGCCAGAGGTGGCATTTGCCGGTTCTCCAAACTACTCAAAATTTCCGCTACCAATTCTCCAAAACCAGTCAGAACCTGCTCAATTTCACCCATGCTATAGACATACAAAAAGGGCTTTTATCGGGCCTAGTCAGGAGAAATGGGTTTAAAGTGGCTTTATTATGTGATGGTACATGTTTCTTGCCACTCCTTTTTCACAATCCATTTAAAAGAGGTTGAAAATAGTTTGCCTGTGTTTTCTTCTGAAATTGATCTTGATCTGCAAGAAATCCATCTTGGGGCTGATCCTGAACGATGGTTGGTTTACTGAAAAACCTTCTTCTGGAGCATCGTATTGGTTTTCCTGTAATAGAAAATAATATAAATGGTACCAAAGCTGGTACTATTTTATTCCAAAGTAGAAAAAAGAAGCCAGTTAAATGGGCATTATTTTTATAGGCAGTCCCTGGGTTAAGAATATCTGTCTTATCCCTAGATGTGAATAGGGCAGTTATAAAATGGCAGATGACTCATTTGTTACAGTACTTAAAATGGCGGACAGCTGACTGGAAATGCCATCTGACACAAAATGGCGACAACATTCTCTTTCCTTGAGCTGACGAATCGCTGAAGCTGCACAATGGTTTTATGAGTGTCACAAAGTAGTGCACATATTTTTAATGCAGTATAAGGCCTGTTTTTAGTAGTTCAGGAAACATTGCTTGGCTTCAGTGGTTTGTCAGTTCAAGGAAGGAGAGCATTGACTGCCATTTTGAGCTGGGTCAATAGGGTGAGAGATGGAATTCCAATGGGTTTTCCTTGAATTGGGTTCTCCTTAGTGGAAATCTGTCCTACTGTAACTTGGTTTAAAGATATAAAATGTAAAGTTATAAGTTTAAATTTTACCAAAAAAATGTAAAATTTGTTTTTTTTTTTTTTGCTCATCCTGATATGCAGAAGAAGGTGTACAGTAACCTGTCCTGGCATCAGTGTTTCAAATTTTTTTACTACCAGTTCTGTTGGTGTGGCTTGGTGGGCGTGGCATGGCTTGGTGGACATGGCTTAGTGGGCGTGGCAGGGGAAGGATACTGTAAAATCTCCATTCCCTCCCCAATCCAGGGGAAGGTTATTGTAAAATCCCCATTTCCTCCCAATCAGCTGGGATTCGGGAGGCAGAGAATAGATGGAGCGGCGCCAGTCAGAATTTTTACTACCAGTTCTCCAAACTACTCAAAATTTCCACTACCGGTTCTCCAGAACTGGTCAGAACTTGCTGAAACCCACCTCTGTCTGGCATAAATACAAATTTGGGTTAAAGACAAAATTAGGGAATAGAACTTGCCCTTAACTACAGGACTCTTTGTATTTTTAGAAAAGTTCACCATTAGATGTTGTTTGGCCAGAGGTTTGTAAAACAGTATGTCTTTTTTTAGCTGCCATGAAAGTTTTATCAATTTACCACTTGCTAGTCACAGGTTCTTGAATTATGGCAGAGAGAAAAATTAAACCAGCCGAATATATTTTTCCTAATGCAGTAAAGCTTCCTCCATATGTAGTTTTCTGTCACAGAGGAAGCCCATACTCTTGCATTAAGATCAGATCAAATAAAATAATACCATGCCTATTTTCCTGCCCCAAAACCCCTCTGTTGTGGAGGTTAATAAAATCAATGAACCGTGAACCTTTGTCTCTATGAATTTCTACTTTAACAAATGAGCCTTTAAATCATTTAACAGTAAATGTTTTTATTTACATAATAAAAACATATCTATACAATTAATAAACAGCACTTAATTACTATGATTAATTATCCTGTCAACTATATATCTATATCTATTCTCTCTAAGCTATGTTATCTATGACTACTCTTCCTCAGAAGATATATTATTATAAACCACCAGAACTGCTCTTCTAACAGACTTCCAAACTGCTCACAGTTGTCTAATGGAAGATCCTAGAAGAGTTAAGACCTAAGACCAAATAGCTAAGACGAGTGAAGATCGAAGAGCCAAAGAGTTTCTGACAAGAATCTCCTTTTATACTGCTAACTATGACAGTTAGGTTAGGACCGGGGAGATTCAAACATATTAGCTGCCCTCTGATTGGCTTATATATCTGTCCATTCCAAAAGCCATTAATAGGCACAGCTGTAGAGAAATAAATTTTCTCTAACACCCTCCTTTGAATCCAGGATATTTATTTAGTAGGAAACAGGTATCAGTAACAGTAACAGAGTTGGAAGGGACTTTAGAGGTCATCTAGTCCAACCCCCTACTCACACAGGAGACCTGTACTAGGGATTCGAACCGCCGAATTGCCGACCCATGTAAAGCAATTTGTCCAACCTTGAGGCTCCCCCAAGATGTTTGGATAACAATTTCCTAGAATGGTAAGCCCACGCAAGAGTTAGAGTTCCTTACTGAGAATTTTGAAATTGTAATTTCAGCTGGAGTAGGCTAAAGATTTTGGGTAAGTAATAATTTCAGTCTAGTGTCAAAATGTGAAGTCCTTGGTGTTCTCGGAGCTTGGTTGTTTGCTTGTAGAAGTTTCATTACTGAACAAAGTAACATCATCAGTGCCTCTCCAGCAGAGTTTATAGCACCTCATAATTAGGACCTGAACTACCTATTCTAATTGCTATTAAAGGTGTTTTAGCCCCCCCTCCCCCCAATTTGACTCCTTTGTTAAGTTTAAAAGTGATAGATCCAGGAATAAAATTGTTCCATCTTGTACTTCATTAGTCTTTTAGGTTACTTGTTTCCTCATTACCTGGCATGGACAAATGTCTTAATGACTTTGCAAGTCCAATCAATGGTAGTCATCATTTGACTTTATATGTGAAGGGCATACTGACCTGAGTGGAAAGTCCTTCAGACTACACGAGAACTACATTAGCAAGGGAAGGAACCAAAATAAGCTCTTGTTATTTGAAGATTCAAGTCAAAGCCCTGCTTGTCTACAGAGGGAATGAAATTTAATGGTGAAACCAAGAGAAATCTGAGCTTAATGAATCCACGAGATTTATATATAGATTTCTAAATTTAAACTGCTTGGTCATATACGTTGTGTCCTACAGAGTTGTCTCTTCCATTCTGCCCTCCAGATATGTTGTTGATTGAGACCAGTCAGACAAACAAATAAATAAACAATATGCTTGGATATGGATTTATCCTACATATATATGCAAGTGATTTATTATCAGTGCTTTTATGCCTCTTTAACCAGTTCATACTAATCAATTTATGGGCAGCAAGATAAAGGTACAGAGCAAAATAGAAAAATTATCTCTTATTTCAAATAATGAAAAACAGTCATTACTTAAAATTATAGGTAGTTCTTGACTTACAGTTTAAGTTGCTAAGTGGGACAGTTGCTAACTGACTTTTGCCCCGTTTTACAACCTTTTTGCCACAGTTGTTAAGTGACTCACTTCAGTGAGTCACTTAAGAGAATCTGGCTCCCCCCCCACCGTGACTGCTTGTTGGAAACCAGCTGGGAAGGTTAGAAATTGTGATCACATAACCCAGGGACAGTACAAGTGTCATATGCCAGTTGCCCAAATTTTGATCATGTGACCATGGGATGCTGCATTGGTTGTAAGTATGAAAACTTGTCATAAGTCATTGCCGTTATAACTTTGAACGGTCACTAAACAAATGGTTGTAATTCGAGAACTACCTGTATAGTTATAAAACCAGACTGTTGTATATCATCAGACATTCATTACATACCTAGATACCAGTGGTGGGTTTCTACTGGTTCGGCCCGGTTCGGCTGATCCGGTAGTGATGATGGTGAGCTGAGAGTGAACCGGTTCTCTCTGATGGTTAGGTTGGCCCTCCCGCCTGCCCCTGTTTTATAGATACATTTCATTTGGTCGTTTTTAGCCCAGATGAAAGGTGCAGCAGAGCGGATTGCTGCATGTCAGCTGTTCTGTAATATACTGCGCTTGTGCGCTTGTGCGCATGAAGCACATGCATGATGCGAACTTGTGGTAACATCGGTTGAAACCCACCACTGTTAGATACCCCCTTGCTTCTGTCTCCAATTAGTAGGATAATTAGTTTGTAGCATTTTTAGTTATTTATTAACATATTTGTATGGCTGTGCATCTTAAGAACATGGTTCTAGATGGCTCACAACAATGAGCCAAAGAGTTATTAGAGTAGTTTGCTTCACATTTATTTTATTATATACAAATTTCTTCAAATATAATTATTTAGTTGACAGAAACACATACCTTTAATTGCTTTTTAGGATTCAACAATACTGGTAGTGTGATCTAATTGAAGTGATTAGATGTAATGTTAAAAGTTGTAAATAATATGAAGCCTTGAAAGAAAGGTTGGCATGAGCCACAAATTATAGCCTGTATATTAGAATTAGGGGCCTCAAGAAAGGTGAAGTCTGGTTATATGAATCTCCATCTGAAGATTGCTCAGGCAGTGACTTTTCTGAGTGAAATGATCCCATCATCCTAACTTCAAAGAACTCACCTTAGAACAGGGGTGTCAAACTCAAACCTGGGGGCTGGATCTGGCCCACAGGGTGCTTAGATCTGGCCCATGGGGCTACCCTGGAAACAGTGAAGGACTGGCCCACTGTGCCTCTGCGAGTGAAAACGAAGCTCAGGAGGGTTGCGTGCCACCTTCCCGAGCTCCCTTTTCGCTGGCAGAGAGTTGCTGGAGACCATCACAGCCAAAAACAGAGCTCGTGAGGGCCCTCAATGAAATCGAGTTTGACACCCTTGCCTTAGAAGCTTATGCTAATCAGAAGCCAACTTCTGTCTTATGCATAGATCCCATTATCTTCTCTGAAACTAATGCTAATTGAACAGAGTATAGCTTTTGAAGCACAGGTGGTTCTTCAGAGGGAAGGAGATAGAACATGTAGTCTGTCCATAGAATTTAAAAACCCTTTATTTACTTATTTTGCTCAAGACATTGTTCTAACATAAGATGTAGTATCAAAAACAAGAAAGAAAAAAACATATACCTTTGGCTCCATCTCTTTGCCTGAATGCTTATCCCCATTCTTGGTTCTGCTTAGGCTTATCTTGACTTTATACATCATGCATTCTTTTCTCTCCCCCCCCCCATTGAATGTTGTTAAAAAAACAACAACCAAGCTTTAAAAATGTGCAGGCGCTCTTACAGCAGATGTAATTCAGGATTTTTATAATAATAAAGATGATGGGGAAGATGAATTATATTTAGGCTAGAGTTTCAATTATGTCCAAATGTGCTGTGTAATGCATAGATTTAACCTAAGAACCACAGTCAAGAGTTTAATGGTGACTTTACAGTGACTTTGTGGTTCAATAATTGAAAAATATTTTTTTAGTTAGCCTATTTCAAAATGTGGTAAACTCTCCAGCAATTTCAACCCTGCCTGAGCTACAAATATTCTCCTTTATTGGTATTAAGACCCTCATAATTAGGACCTGAAATTCAGTCTCCAAATCTATTCTACTCTCACCTCTGATTATCTATCTTAGAAAGTCCTGGGTGCCTAGAACCTCTCACCTTGTATTAGAAATAAACAGTTGCTTGTTTGACTTTGACTGATTACAGTACATTTTTCCTGCCTTCCAGAAGACTCCTGAATTTACTCAACTGAGTACTGAGTTTTTAGTAGCTCTTTGTCAGGGTCTTAATGAGATTTGATATTCTTTTCATATACAATACAGTTCTCTGACTTTCAGGAAAATGCACTAAAAATTTAAATGATCCTGCAGTCCTTGCTCAGAAGTGGATTAACAATAACAATGCATCATTCTTTAAAGTGCATTTCATTAAAGAAAACATGAGAATTTAGTGGTTGTGTTATAGATCATTTAATTGTTGTGTATTTAAGCAGCAAAAGAAACCAAAAATATTTCCTGTGTTTTCTTTCATCTCCTTCAAATTTATTATGTCAGTCATTGGCCGCTATGACATCATAAGATGAATTCAAAGCAGTGATTACTTTAGCATTCATACGTTCGCAGCGTTCCAATTATTCAGGCTGCTAAGTGAAAGTATAAATGTCAATTTAGCTATCTATAATGCTGTAACATTTAAAGCTTCATGAATTACTCATGGAATGGGAAAAATCAAGAATTTGCCGAAGGTATTTTTTTCCCCTGTATCATATTTGCTGAAACTGTTTCTTCTAATGCATAGCAGTGATTCATCATTTTGATTTAAAACATTAGATTTATTTAAAGCACAGAAGAGGGGATTTACATTGAATTTAAAAACTTGAATTTAAACACTTTATTGCTATAAGCAAGTAAACAGCAATAGAATTAATGTTGTTGTTTTTTTTAAAAAAATTCTCAGAATGTACAACTAGAAGAGTCTGCCTTCATATTTTGTTTGGAAGGCAAAACTGCCATCAGAGGCAATAGCTAGGCTGAAGAACAAAGGTCATAGGAGATACCTGGTTTATTCACATACCTTGCTCATCTTTAGGATTTGGGATGGACACATTGTTCATTTTTTTAGTCTTACCTTTTTACACCCATTTCTTTATTATTTTTCTTCTGTGAAAAGGTTTGAACAATGTTTTCATGCAAGTTCTCCCTAATATGTACCATACGGAACACATTTTTCATTAATCTACAGTTTTGTATGTACATATATTTACATATGCATTTATATAAGTAATTGTTTTAATTGTTCATTCTTTGATTTTTTTTAAAAAAAAGATGAGATGAACTGTATCACAAAATTTAAGAGCGTGGTTAATATTCACTAAGTTAAGCAGGATAATTTTTATCACTTTATATCTCTCTAAAACATGGCTCACACTTACTGCTTAATTTATGTGCTATGGACTGATCTTATTGTAAATCATTGATAGGACCAGGATGAAGAAGTTAATAGGATGGAGATAAAATATCTATGTTTATATTTATGTTTAGATCTAGTTCTGTACCTATACCTAGATCAATATCAATCAACCCCCCCCCCCACACACACTAATCATTTCTTTTATTTGCCACATTAAATATTACAATTTAATGGAAATGTCTGGAG